GGGATGGAGGGGCGGACTGGGGCTCAGTGGTAAAGCCCCATGGGTTCAATCCTCAGTACCCTCCCCCAGCACAAAAGAGTTCCTCCATGTCTTCTCATAACTTGATTGATCATTTATTTTTACGCTGAATCATTATTCCACTGTCTGTACCACAGTTTGCTTATCTGTTTGCCAATTGTAGGTCATTGTGGTTGCTTCTAAGCTTGGGTGACTATGAACAACTCATAATTTCCTGTTCATCATGAGTCAGCAAATGCAACATAGCTTGTCACCAGTTCATGGCCAACCTCAGCAACTTTGTGAGATCCTGTCTCAAATTAAAAATGAAAATGGACAGAACAGGGGAGGAGGGTGGTGTAGTTCAATGGTAAAGGGCTTCTAGGTTTAATCCCCAGGATTGAAAAGAAAAAGTGCTTAAGCAAATTGCAGAAACTTTGTAGAAAATAAATCTTAGGAAATTCATATATGTGATTAAGTTGGTTATAAATAATACAGACAGTTAAGGTTATTTGGGGCTTTTCTAAGGTCAAATTTTAATATATGAATATAAAATAAGAATCTAATCCTCTATGACGAAAGCAACAAGGTTTTCTTAGAACATTGATCTGTTTAAATTTTTTTTTTTCAGTACTGGAAATTGAACTCAGGGAACTCTACCATGAAGTACATTCCCAAACATTCCTAGTCCTTTTTATGTTTAAATTTGAGACAGGCTCTCACTAAGTTGTTGAGGCTGGCTTTGAACTTGTAATCCTCCTGCCTCAGCCTTCCAAGTCACTGGATTAGAGGCATATGCCACTGTGCCCAGCTACAAGATAATTTCTTGTCTTTATTAGGTTTTCTTTACTTAGGGAAACTAAGTCTTAAAAAATTCAGTTTGTTTAATACCTCTGTTTTAAAGTCTTTTAAGTGATTGATTTATAACTCTAATTAAACAAATATTATCTTAGGTTATTATGATATATATATATATATATATATAAAACTGTATATCTGTGACATACACATGTATGAATATGAGGGATAAATATGTTTATCTGAGCTTTGTTAGGCAAGACTGTTGCAGTGGTGCACTCCTGTTATACCAGCAACTCTGAAGGATCCAAGTTCCAGGGTAGACTGGACAATTTAATGAGACCCTGCTTCAAAATAAAAATTAATAAGTACTGGGAATGTAGCTCAGTGGTAGAGCTCCCTGGGTTCAATCCACAATACTGAAAAAATATTGTTATGCAAAAGTGGTTTCAATATAGGCAACGTGGTTCAGTAAGTGCTGTCCTCATCATCGTCCTTGTCCTTGTCTTGTCCTTGTCCTT